AAAACACAAAAAGACACTCCAAACAATCATACCAGCCACACGAACAGGAAGTTTCTATGGATGCAGGCTCCTTGGCTTGGAAATGGAGAAAGAACATCTCCCGCAGAGCCAGAGATGAAAAGAGAAGTCTTTGCCACTTTCTTTGAATTTGTGTCTCATTGTATGTCATTTGTAACAAGGCATTGAATGAATGTCTATGTCTGTGTATATACTGTAATCCGCTCTGAGTCCCATCGGGGAGAAGGGCAGAATATAAATAAAGTGTTGTTGTTGTTGTTGTTGTTGTTATTATTATTATCTACTTAAACTGCCATAAACTGGTGGCTACACCAACATAAGTGCTTTGAAAAGCATTTTACAAAGTAGTAACCAAAACTTCTTTGCACAGTGGCTTCCCCCAGCTGTGTGATAGTAGCTGGAGGATGCTTAGCCTCAGCTCTGCACTTCTGTCCACTGATTGGTTGTAGGGAGAAGCAGCTCCCGCCCTGCCCACTGACTGACTGACTGCAGGGGGGCATCCAGGAGCGGTCCAGCCTGCATTGCACAGCTAGAAATAGGGCTGCCTTTGCCCTGTAGTGTTCCTATATTCCAGCGGTCCTATAATAGGATCTCAGTCATTGAGGTTGGCTACTGGAAACCTATCAAATGCTGAACTTCACAGACGAGAGAACAACATAAAAAGGGCATATTTTAAATGGCAATGAATCTATTACAGTCAACCTGGTAAAAGAAGCCTTTTAGTGTCAGTAGATAATGAAAATACCAAGTTGCCTATGACTGAGTTAAAATGATGTCATGACCTGGCAATTTCTGTTCTGTGCTGACACATCCCTGTGGAGCACAGCTCAAAATTGGCTTCATGTAAATATAATAGGCTTGTTTCTTCTTTGTAGTTTAGCTCTTCTGAGAACTGTATCCTGGAAACATGTGAAAAACAGCAGCATCAGGACGGGGGGGGGGGGAGGTCATGAAAAACTTGGAAACCTATATTTTCCCATTTATTTTTTAAATGCAAATTACACTAGTTAGTCCAAAAAAATCACCTTCTGTTAAAAATACATTCAGAATTAACAAATGACTATAACAAAAAGAGACATTTGGATTGTTAACACTTGCCTTCTGAATATTTGGATTTATAACAACAACAAAAAAAAGCCCAGTCTAGAAAAATAACATTCTTCACTGGATTTTGAGGAAGATACAGCTGTACAATTCAACAACAGTATTTCAGATATTCTCACACTACTGTGCTCTAAAACCCATTCCATAGCAGATGTGTCCATTAACTTATTCACTGTAGTAGTTGACAGTCCTGAAATTATTTTGGTGGTAGTGATTTAACTGCAATTTAAACAAGCACGAAGGCCTAATATGAAATGTATATTATTTCTGTATACACTGCAATGTTGCCACATTATCCACATTGCATTCTTGTCATAATGTTTCTGTGTTCTCTGATTTTATGGTTACCTGACACTCTTGTAATGGGGGAGGAGAGACTGCAATGGACGCCTGCATTTCTTTTCTCCTTTGAATGCAGCAATACTATAAGCCGTCACTCTTCGCGCAAGTTTGTTATAGGAAAGATATGTTCTTTAGTGACTTTCTTTTCTCACCTTAGGCTGCAGCAATCCCAAACATATTCCTTTTGTCTAACTTGGAGCCTTTCTGAACTGCAAAACTATAGTGCTACTATTCCATTTTAAATGCCAGCATTCCATTTCCTGGGGTTTGTAGTTTGGTCACTCTTGAGCTCTCTGTCTGATAATTCTAACTACCATTCTCTAAATTGCAAATCCCAGGAACCCATAAGGTGAAAAGTAGAATAATAATTGTGCTGTGTGAATGACCTCTGCCCCCTGGTTTGAGGATGGGAGAATTTTCCCTTCTCTGATTTCTTTAAAAAACATCTTGAAGGCTGCAAATGCCTTCCTAAGTAAAAAAAGAGGAATCTGCAATTCACATATTGGTAAAATGGGATAGGAATGTCGCTTGGATGTAGAAACAATAGTACTGACAAATGAAGAATCTTGTGGCAGGGTTGTTGTAGGTTTTTTCGGGCTATATGGCCATGTTCTAGAGGCATTCTCTCCTGACGTTTCACCTGCATCTATGGCAAGCATCTTCTGAGGATCCTTGCCATAAATGCAGGTGAAACGTCAGGAGAGAATGGCTCTAGAACATGGCCATATAGCCCGAAAAAACCTACAACAACCCAGTGATTCCGGGCATGAAAGCCTTGGACAATCTTGTGGCATCTTAAAGATGAACATGAAGTATCTGATGAAGCAGGGTGCAATCAAAAGCTTGGTCCGAATTTAACATGTTAATCTTTAAGGCATCACAAGCAACCTTCAACTAAAGGAATGTGTTCTCTTCCTTACATTTACTCTCTTCCTCATCCTTCTTTTTGAGATGTGCTAGCCATGCCATGAAGAGTTACTGTGCTACAGAAAAGCAAGTGGTACTCAGTAGTAATCCTGATGAAGCAAGTATAGTTTCCTTGGCTGTAAGTCAGCAGAGAGTCCTATACAATTTATGGAATTGTATGGAAGTCCTTGGTTTTTAGATGATTATAAAGATTCTCTCAACACTGGAAACAATGATGTACTGGCAGAAAACTCATAAGAAATATGGGGTAGTACTTCCCTCATCTCATTCAGCCTTGACCTATACTGGCTAGAACCCATTTTACACATACAGACAGAGCAGGATATTTGTGATGAAGATAATACATTCTTGAAAATATATTTTTATGATTTGTTATAGCAGCTATAGGACAGTTCTTTCCTAATGGGTATAAGTTCAGGCAGAGGTAGCAGAATGATGTAGTCATTCAAGAAGGAGCAAAACATGGACTGATGAAATGCCACAGCTGGACATTATAATTCCCATGTATGCATATACATGATACTATGAGTAAGTGAAATAGGCATAATTTATTTTTTTGATTTTTTTTTAGTAAGAGTGAACTACTACATCGATCAAATACTCGTTCCCACAAGACTGCACTATCCCTCTTTGACAGTCAAAAGGCCAGCATTTAAAACACATCTAAATTCCAGACTTGAAAATCTCTCTGTTTAGTGAATTTCTAACCTACTTTCCTGCTCATTCTGAATGGGGCTAGAACACCACTGAAGCATCAATCAGTCTCCCAGTCTAGCCGCTCCAAACCTAAATACAGGCCAAGATCCTTCAATCATCTGCTGCAGTTGAAAATGCTGGATTGGAACCCCACACAAGTAATGTTAAGTACAGCCAATGTGAAAAATACGATTAAGGATACTGCTTGCACGCAAATCCCAGTGATAGTTATGTTAGTTGCAGGTTTATTGAAACAGTGGCTTTTGGTTCTGGCCTAAAATTATAACTTCACGAAGAAGCAAGATAATGAAACATCTGCAAAAGCTACACGAGTGTGACATCATTAATGATGGTGTCATGCCATCATTAGTGTAGGTAAAAGATGCAAATACTGAACAGTATGGTGGTTGATGTAAGAGGATTTACAGTTTTGGACTTTTTATGTGCTGTCCACTGTATAATATAAATGTTGCTATCATTACAGATATACTCACTTCCATGCACACTGCTGGACCAATATTGCTTGAACTGGAATGTGCATTTTTGTTTCTCTAATGAACGTCTGTTCTGTGGTCATCCAGATTTATTTCTTTGTGACATATTACATCCATGCAAAGACATCAAACAGCAGGGTGGTGAGAGAGGGCTGGAACAGACTAATTTATGTAGGAACAGACAATGAGAATTGTTATGGAGGAGTATAGATTTTATAGGCCACAGAGAACTGAAAGTGTTGGGCAAGTGTACAAAAAAAGGTGTTTGAAAAAGATCTGACAGGCAAGTTGCCTTTGCCAAGAACCTTTGCCCAACTAGTGCCTGAGGCTGATGTATCTGAAAGTAGTAAATAAAGAAATGAGGGCAATTCAAGTTCTAAAAAAGCCTGAGCAAAATATTTCTTCCCAATGAAAAGCCACTGAAGTGGTTGAATATACAGCTCAAATTCAGAACAAACAGACGTTTCTAGGAGTCAAGAGTATTTCATAAAGACACTGACCTACTAGTAAAGTTTCCAAAGGCATATTCTTGCCAACTACATAACAGCACAGTTTTTTTTCTTTTGAACCACAATAATACAGGAAGATAAGATACACATTCTAACACACAACAAATCCCCAAAATACCACAAAGAAGATCTTCAAAAATATCACCATTGCAACTACTCCCACCCCAACTAAAAAATAGAACAAAATCCGGAAAGAAAGAAAAAAATGTTTGCCGCAGTTTTTCTTTTTTAAAAAAGCTCACTTACATAGGATTTTCAACTGGAATTAGTTATAAAAGAGTAAACATAGTTAATACATATTCAGTTGGCCTCTGTTGATAGAAATACGCAGACATCTCAGTCATCAGTAAAAGACACAGAGTCATTTATAAAAGCACCTATAGTGCATAAATAAAAACAGTGGGGTTAAGGAGCACTGTTTTTGCTGTTCCTTTATAGTTATTAGTTTGAAAAGAATTCCTTTTTCCAGCATTTTCCAACTCTTCTATGATACCATTTCAATCACAAATAATTTCAATGTGTTCTGGAGGCTTCAGAGTATAAAACACTTTCCCCTCTGACATCAGGCAGTTCTCTTATACAGCCAACTCTGATCCTGCTGGGGAGCAGGCTATCATTTGACACAGCCTTGGAAATGTTTCCAAATTAATGAACAGCATGGTTGAGCCTAAAGGAGTTATTTTCAGAAAGCCCACACAGAATTTCTCTGATGTGCAACTTAGGATGGGTTAAGGCAAGTATGTACTATACAGCCTTTAGGGCAAACAACGTGCTGTCTATTGACTTCTCTTTCCAGGTCATCACGGTATGTTGGGTAGTTATTGACTGAGAAAACACAGCTCCAGACAGAGTACAAAAGAAGCCCCAAAGAACCAAAATGGCTCAGCCAATTTTGTAACTGAGAGGGAAGAAGGTAGGCAGTGGCCAGAAGATGGTGCCACTGCTTCTTTGTTTGAATCTTCTGTATATGGATTTGGAATATCCAAGCTGGGAGAGAAGGGATATTGTGCAATGGTGTCCATATTCATCAGAAACCAAAGCCTCCGCTTCTGCATCTTCTTGTTCTGTTATTGATTAAAACAGAAGTCTTTTAAAATCCACAGAAGTTCACGCCAGACTCTGACCCTTGACTGGTCTTTCAGCCCAACTCCAGACCTTGTTGTTTTTATTTTGACCTAAAAATCAGAGAGAAGGAGATAAAAAGAGAAAAGGATACAGGCTGCTTCTTACCACTGCACTTGGCTTCAATATACTTTTCCACATCTTCCTATAGTAGTACAATATTTATATTTATGTTAGAATAAAAGGCAAACAAAATACATATCAGCCCCCTCCCTAACCAGTGTTTGGTGTTGTGAGAGATGGACTAGCATAGCTATCTATAAAGGGAATAGCAAAGGGGAATGAAGCACCTTCCCACTTGCTTCAGCTTCTGGTCTCACTGCTGGGTAGTAAAAACTGTCTGATTCATCCATGTCATCTAGGCCCTGTGCAAGGTCACCGGGATCAGGTTGATGGTCAATTTCTAGCTTGTAAAATACAACACTAGCATGGACCTCACAAGGCTGTGAGGATAAATACCTTCTCTGACACTTAGGGACACGTAGGCTATGAATAAGCAGTGTAGCACTCTAGCATTACCCTTCTGGCATTGTTAGAAGAAAAGCAATGAGTGAAGTTGCCATGCAGTTGGCTCAGAAATACAGCACTTCGATGACTTGATTTGGATGAGTTTCACAAGATCTAAATCAGAACTTGGAAAAAAATCCTTTCATTGGAATATAAATCCCCAAACACCCTAGATATGCTGGATAATTCTGGAAGCTGTAATGTAGAAGATTAGATGTTTGAACTCTAGTCTAAACCTAATACTATTCTCAAGGATTCCTCTTCATAAAGCAAATAGCCTGGAACAAGCTTCAGTACAGAATAGATCATGCCATGGCTGAAAGACTTCAAAGAATGACAGGAAAATTCTTCTATACCAATGAACTGTTCTTGTGCAATTTTTCCAATACATTAGGCATCTACTGTCACCCCAAATCACTCTGGTTCCATCTCTCCCTTTTCTTGCAAAAATAAATTTGTAAAAAGATGTGCACTCTAGTGTTATATGTTACTCATACGACCTTCAAACAAATTCCTAGACTTGAGGGACCCCTGCGATCACTTAATATATTTGGTAATCTCACAATTCAAATATTACTGTTAGGCCTTTTTTTAAAAATAGTCCACCATTGTAGTTATAACTGAGGTTGCATTACATTTGGCATTAGCAATTCTATATTTTTACTTTTTTTGTTGACATGCCAAAACTATCACTGTTGATATTTGGTGGAAATGGGCACTATCCTTCACAGAAATGAAGTCAAATCCTCCTCGGTCATCACATATTTGTTTATTTGTCTAATTTGCATGATTGTGTCATTCCTCCATTTTAGAGTAGTATAATTTGAGGATGGCACCTTTTTCTCATTGTAAATCAGCTCATGGGTTTAACTAGATGATGACAGTGTCTTTTGTTGCATTAAAGAGCAGTTTTATTGTCTTTTGTACATGCTGAAATCTCCTACATGTTGGTAAGAAAGCAGCAGAGAAGCAGAACAAAAGCAAAAAAGGTCACAGAGATTTAAATGTTTTTCTCGTACTTCCTTGTTCTCAGCTATAAGCTTCAAAATTTATATTGACTTCTTTTGCCCTACAGCCTCGGCTTTCTTCCCAGCCAGTGTTAGTAAGCTCTATAAAGGCAATCAGCTACTCTCAAAGCAAAGAACATAAAACGAAAGGGATAATATCTCAGCCGGAAGGCTCCATATGTTGATGGCGAAGTATACTATATGAACAAAGAAATGGGATTAGAATTGCTCTAAGTACCTAGGAGCCACAAATGGTGACTGAAAGAAATAACATCTTGTAAGTGTACAACACTCTGACAAAAGAGAAAAATCTTTCTTTATGCACAGACAGGTGAAGAACTGTATTCTGAGAAAGACTTGCATTTAATGGACATCCTGAAACCTGGGCCAAAATCATAGGAGCACCAGTTGAACTTTTCACCATGAGATAGGTTAAAGCTGATTCAACTGCATTGTCATCAACACAGAGACTGCTAGATTGTACTTGCATCACTCGTTGACTGCAGATCATCGTATGGATGTTTCAGTCTCATGAAATTTCTCTACTGGCTCTACATATTCCTGGGAACTGCTGGAAATGGCATGGAGCCACTCTGTGCATTTTGGCTAAGGCATATGCTAGAAAATTCAAAATATGAAATTTTCTGCTTATAAAACATTCCCGGTATGATATATATTTAAAATGATGTTATTGGGCATTCCCTATAAGATATAGATGTTTTTCGGAAAAAATATTTTCCCCAAAAATGCTGCTGTAAGTTGTCATCTAGTGAGGTCAGAATATAATATAAAAATTAAGCAAAAATTAAATATTGTCCTAAGCACAGCCATTTTCTATGAATACGGGAAGCATCTTTGTACTGAATGAATTCAATTTTGTGTGCATTAAGTGGTAGCTCTCCATAGACTAAAACTCTACCTTGAGATTGTTGAGTCTAAACCTGAGGTCTTCTTCATTCTTTGCTATAGCTGTCTATTCCTGATTACAGTGAACCCAACTAAATCTTATAATTAGGATCAGGGTCCTACAGAACACAACCTTCTCTATTTACATTTAGAGAGAAATTTATGACACCATAAAAACCTTCCAGCAGGGTGCATAAGAATGAGTAAGTACTTATTGGACTGGATGGCCCATGAGGTCTCTTCCAACTCTATGATTCTATGATTCTACTCCATCAAGGACTCAGTGTCACAAGTAGACAGTGAAGCGGCAGCTCCCCCTGTGGCTGGAATCAAGCATATCCTCATGAAGCTGGAAAGCTGGAATGTTAAATTGCCTCTGTGTCTGTCTATATATGTTGTATGTGTAATGGCATTTAATGTTTGCCAAGTATATGTGCATTGTAATCTGTCCTGAGTCCCCTGCGGGTGAGAAGGGCAGAATATAATTATTGTAAACAAACAAACAAACAAACAAACAAACAAATGTATAGCAAGCAATTTATCAGCATAGGGTGTAGAAGCTTGACTAACAGGAGTGGAACAGAAGACTTGATTCTTCTTTACCCTGTTCTTTTAGAAGTGCTGCTTCCTCATAGGATCAAGATGGTATTCACTGCTGGAAAACCAATGCTGGCTACTGACTCCAGCCAGTTATTTCCTCCCTCCCTTCATTGTCCTAATTAGTGAGGCACTGCTTGTGCACAGGTGGTGAATTGCCAGTTAATTGGCAGATCGACCCCAAAAGGAAGGGACTCTGGTGGAGAGGCATCCCTTTAGATGATCACTTCGGGGCACCAGTCCCTCTTTATTTGAATAGTGGGGATAGACTTTGGGTGAAAGGTAGAGTCTGGTTGAACAGTTCCAGTCATAATGTAAGTGTGGGTTGACTCCGTTGACATTTTCACAAGGGTCTTTGGCTGAGAGGCATGGATTGGAGGGAAGAACTAGAGTTATTTGGATGATAACTAAGCTGAGATACTGGTTGTTTTGTTGTACATGGGCTTGGGGAGAGGAAAGAGGAATGTGGTGTCTTACTGGTATAATCTCAGGCAGAATGTGGTATGATGCTGGGGCTGGACATGTCAGATTAGGGAAAGACTGGATAGGATTTCAAATCTCTGCTGTATCTTATCTTTCCACTCCTTCAAGATCCTTGTTTCCCTGCTATCCAGCCCTTTGTTCATGCAGCTATAAATGCCACTCACAATAAAATAATAATAATGTGTGGCCTAATTGCAGATGAAGGGTCTGAACTGGGATGTTGTACAGATACCTAACCCATTTTGATTGTTGATGTATTGAGTTTCTGTTGGAATGATCTTGGTTTGAGTAGATCTTTCCCAGCTTTGTCCACCCAGTGTAACATCACCCTAGATTATGGGATAGGTTAGTATTTGTATTGTTAATTGAACAAAGGCCATTACTCTGACTATCTCCAATGATGCCACCTTTCATTATTACAATTTTCTAATATTTGATTTAGCACAGTGTCCTTGAAAGTTTGATACTCACATGTACATAGGCTGTAGCTGTAAATGAGATGTCTTCTGTGGGCCCTGATAGCCATACGAATCAAATCCACCTATGAAATCAACTAGAAAAAGAAAAGAAGAGGAAATTGCTCTTATTTCTGACATCACTCATGGAACAGAAAGGCATAATCGTTTCTTTTTTAAAAAAAGCTTTCACATCGGTTTTCTTAGTCATTCCCGGAAGGTTGATCTCCTTCTTAGTGTATTGAAACAGAAGTGATTGATTGTGGACAATGCAAGCAAAGTGCAGCATCTATATACTGATATGACTGTATAAAAAGTATGTTTTCATCAGAGTGACAGTGCAAATTTATAACTATCTACACAACTGAAATGATTACACATTGCTGTTTTTGTCTATGAGCAGACTACTCCACTGAAGTGCATAAATTATATATTTGTTGCAGGCTGTAAATACTACAAAACCATTAATTTGATACCTGCAAGTTTAAAGTGGTTGTGATTATTGAGTCACATATCTCTGGCTTCACTGTAGTTCTGTGAACAACAAACCAAAAAACAAACCTTGATCTATGCATTTTTGGAGTGCAGGAGAATCACAGGCTTTACATGGATCTTGTACTTTCTTATAACAAATGGAAATCATAATCAACTAGGGGCTGGGAACCCACAGGAGGCTGGGCCCTTCACAGAGGCTTTCGTGTTGGTATGGTGAATTCAGTCTGCATCCCATTCTAGGCTGTATAGGAGCTATCCAGGGTGCTTAACCCTATCCCCAATAGGTACAACATCTTAGAGTGCTGTTTTAGACATAGGGTTCAGAACCTTGGACAGATCCAGAACAGATTCCCTCCACCACTAATATGGAAGTTTCTAGCTTCAAAGAAAGGCAATTACAACTGCTCTGAAAATATCTTGCAAAAAACAAAAAAATGGTGGTGATGGTGGTCCTCGTCTTCTTTCCAGTAACCTTAGAGTTGCCATTTTGGAAATGACTTGAAAGCACATAACAGCAAATTTGCTCCTGACTCTGCCAGTTACATTGGTCCCTGATTCTCGAGTCCACCAATATCCTGAAAGCCCAACATTCCTTAGTTCTAGATTCTTTCTAGAGAGAATTGGCAAAGCCTTAGATTTCTCAAGGAAACTTCTTTTTTATTTCTTTTCCCTAGCACACTATGTAGCCAGTACAGAAAGGCCAAACATATGAATGCTAAATATCTTTAAAATGACATTTAGACTACTGATTATTTTAACATCTTTGAGTCATTTATTCCATAGGCAATTTATTCCTTGGCACTGCATAAATAAGCATTTGTATTTGCTTTCCTTCCTATCAACCACTTTGGATAATGCACAGTATTAGTGTTCTGAGAAATTTTGCAATCAGGGACAGCTAACCACCCCTCAACAAAGGATTTCCCCAGGCAGTAACAAGCCACACCTAAAAATTATCAGACCATCAATGGCTAAACAAGGTAGCCAAATAAAACATTTACACCTAGCTCCAATAGACAAGAGTTCTTTCTCCCACCCTGGACTTTCTACAGATATATAAACCCAATTTTCCTAGTTTCCAACAGACCTCACTACCTCTGAGGATGCCTGCCATAGATGCAGGTGAAATGTCGGGAGAGAATGCATCTAGAACATGGCCACATAGCCCAAAAAACCTACAACAACCCAACCTTGAATCAGATTGTTTTTGTCCTGAAAGTGAAACACAGTGGGGACACTCCACAATGAATGTGCTCCAGGTCTTTGTAAACTGTGGAACAATTTGATCCCATCCACCTGACATATTATGTATTGTTGAAAGCTTTCACAGCTGGAATCACTGGGGTGTTGTGTGGTTTCTGAGCTGTATGTTGCTAGAACATGGCCACACAACACCCCGGTTTATATTATCTTTGCTGCCCAGACGGCACTGGAAGTTGTGCATGGTTTGATTTCCTTCGCCTACAAATCCTCTGCCAATTGATGGCATTTCTGCTGGACATTTCATCCAGCCAGTACCTAAAGACATTAAAATTATTCAATGGTTACTTAGTTCAAATAGCATTGGCATAAAATGAATAAATAAGGCTTATTGGTCAGTGTTTGCGGATGCTATAATCCTAAACTGATTCATCCAATGTTCTTTCAAGATTTCTGTTTCATTTTTTAAAAAAAATATTTTAAAGATTATCATTATCATCCACTGCCACCATTGGGCCTCTAATTATATTATTTCTTTTTCAGGAACAATTCTAAAAGTGCAGAGCTATAATCCCACTGATGTGAAACATCAAAAGCTTAGACACATTTCTTTTAGGAAGGAATGATCTCAGATTTCATGCAGAAGGATCATACGTGTACTTATCCAGAAGTAAGTCCCACTGATGATTTCAATGAAGCCATCTCCTTTGTGCATAAGACTGCACCATTCATTTATCAGTAAATATTTTGATTACTGAGGCATGCATGTGCTAAAATATATACATTGCTTCTAACTATACGAATATTTGTCTTTTCTCTAACAGATGGCTACAGTGGCCAGTCTGCCTCCTCTGCAACTACACTGTGTCTTTTTCAAACACCAGCCAGCCAGAATGAGTTGGCAAGAGCTCTTGCCCACTGCAGCCTTCTCACAGTGGCACAAACATTTAGCATCTGTCCCTTCCAGCTGAAATGAATACACTATTGATTCCAAAAATTATTTATCTGTTGTAATATATATTAATTAATCTGGAGGGTTTTAAACAAGAGAAATAATAATTATATATTCCCCCTACCCACAACCATCACCACCAGAAAAATAAATAACAATGACAAAAACAAGAACACAAGTAAGAGGATTTGATAGGGTTTTTAAAAATAAAAAAAACAAATGCACCTATAACTATCATTCATAGACCTTATTTTCTGTATTTATCAATATGTTTGGCTTGAAACTATTTTTTACTACTAAAGAAAAGAAATAAAGATGAAATTGTATCATCTGTTGTAGGTACTTTGTGATCTTTATATATACTTTGCAATGGGCAACACATTGCTATTTTGGGAATGAGGATCTCTTGTCTTGATAGAGACAAGGTCAAATTCACACCATCGGTTTACATAATGAGTATTTCACATCGTAAACATAGCATCTGTGATCCTTCCAATTCATGAAGGTTGCCTGGATCCAATGAAAAGGCTCTGACCTTGCAAGGTGAACCAAGTTTTAGATAATGAGCTGTTTTGTGATGGCAAATGGTCTTCACATAAAGAACACAGTTGCACAAATGTACTGTAATGTTTTCCTGGTCACAAAGTCAAGGCTAGAAAAGAATAGAAATCTTTTAAATGTCCAACCATATAAGTCATTTTGGTACTTGATGCAGCTGCTTCTGTTCATTTATAGTCCTCAAAGATGGAAATTACAACTTCCGTCATAAATTGATTCATATTCACACTACATGCGGTTTGAGGAACTATTCTTTTTTTCTTCTGCAGTAGCTTCCTCCCAGCAAACCAAAGGACATTTTGTAATCTGTAGGAAGGAAATGCTATACCAGGCATGGGCAAACTTCAGCCCTCCAGGAGTTTTGGACATCAACTCCCACAACTGTGGGAGTTGGAGTCCAAAATACCTGGAGGGCTGAAGTTTGCCTATGCCTGTGTTATACAGTGCAACTCCCATAGGTAAAGGTAAAGATTTTCCCTGACATTAAGTCCAGTCGTGCCTGACTCTGAGGGTTGGTGCTCATCTCCATTTCTAAGCCAAAGAGCCAGCACTGTCTGTAGACACCTCCAAAGTCATGTAGCCAGCATGACTGCATGGAGCGCTGTTATCTTCCCGCTGGAGCGGTACCTATTGATCTACTCACATTTGCATTTTTTCAAACTGCTAGATTTGCAGAAGCTGGGGCTGACAGCAGAAGCTCATGTTGCTCCCTGGTTTCGAACCTGCAACCTTTCAGTCAACAAGTTTAGCAGCTCAGCGGTTTAACCTACTACGCCACCGGGGGCTCCCATATCCATGTGTATATGTTCCTGGATTTTGTATTGATGTGTGAAACCCTGAATAATAGTGACCCTTATTGAAATGAAAGATCTCTGGTCCAAGTATACTGTCATGCTGGAGGACCTAGAAAATGCTTAGAGAGAACATTTATTTTGTCATATATTGGTTAGTGAAATTGAGGGCGCCAGGATCACAGATAGGGAGATTGCACTGTATAGTGGTAGTAGAGTGACACCCCAAAGGTGGATCTAGACTACACAACTTTCCTAGAAAGTTAGACTTTGTTGGATGTTGCAATTCAATTTTATAGAAATATAAAAGAAATGTTATTTACAAATTTATTATTTTATTTATTTGGGATTTTTGTATACCACCCTTCTCAACCCTGAAGGGGATTCAGAGCAGTCCACAGTATTGGCAACAATTTAATGCCATCGATAAAATACAGTATAAAACATCAAAATTGACCCTCCCCTGATTAAACATTATTAAACACCGCACACAAATATTCACTCTTCCCTCCCAAATAATGAAAAATAATCTGAACATCAAGAACTTGTTGGGATTGGGAAGCATATCAAATAGCACCACGGGGTCTTCTTAAAAAGGGGGAAGCTAAGTGGGAAGGAAATAATGTATATACAGCAATTCTTTAAATTAATCATTCCATACTTCACCTAGGAACAACATGGTAGAAAATGATAACCTAACTGAAAGCAAATAATGGGCCAGCTGCAGATAGTCTATGCACTTTGGCTATTTCTATTGGATTTAAACTATATGAGACCCATCCCAATTTGTGAAGAAAATTCCTATGTCTGTGCCAACCACCACCATGGAAAGGGGACATGAGCATTTATTTTACAATTGGCTGAAATATGTGTTACATCAATGTAAATATTATATCCTGCATTGTGGAGACCAGATGGGAGCATTTTTCATTAGTCTTAATTTATAATGGGTATCGTATGAAACAGACCTGAATAACCTGCTCTTGTTGTTGTTCATTTGTTCAGTCGTCTCCGACTCTTCGTGACCTCATGGACCAGCCCACACCAGAGCTCCCTGTCGACTGTCACCACCCCCAGCTCCTTCAAGGTCAGTCCAGTCACT